CTGGGCACAGGGCGAGTGAGGGGCCACTCCCCCCACCGCACTCAGCACCACCTTGTAACCCAGCCCCACTACCAGCCTGGGCTCCACGCAGCTCCAGGCTCACTGGTCAGGGCTGTGCATGGCAACAGTAGCTGCAGCCCCCCGTTTGCCATACCAGGCAGTGTTTGCCACCGCCGCCTCTGTGCTGTCCAGCGCGCAAGCTCCAGGCAGGCAGCAGCAGCCAACACTGCCTGACATGGCATGTGGAGGGGCTGCAGCTGCTGCCACTGTGCGCAGCCCCGACAGGTGAGCCCGGAGCTGGCATAGAGCCCAGGCTGGCAGCAGGGCCGGGTTACAAGCTGATGCTGAGCGCAGGGAAAAACAGCCTCTCACTCGCCCCATGGCCACTGCTCCATGCTACAGCTGCTTGCAGCCCACGTGGGGCTGCCTGTGTCTGCTCAGGATAGCCTTGCGTGTGGGCTGCAAGCAGCTGCAGCAGGGAGCACCAGCCATGGGGCGAGTGAAGGGCCGCTTTTCCCCACCCTCAGCTTTTCCCCGGGCTCCTCCCCTGCCCTTCCTTCCACACTTACCTGAGTTTCCAGCGCAATGCAGCCTCATGGTCCCAGGCAGGCCCTGCTGTTGCAGGAGCCTGCCAGGGCTTCCTGGGTCCTACTGCCCCTGACTCCTGTCATTTTTGATGGCAACCAAGGGCTGATAAATATTAATTTTCTAAATTTTTTTTAGGGGCCCTGCGGGCCAGACAGAATAGCCTTGCAGGCTGGATCCAGCCCACGGGCTGTATTTTGCCCACCCGTGGGTCAGAAGGTCACCTGGCCAGCAAGGCCTAGCACCACTCAATTCAGGGCCCAAATTTGAGAGGACAAATTTGTCCTCTCACATCAATACAGCAACACCCTATTTTTTGTTTTCCTCAACTTATCTACCAAATTGCTTTGAATGTTTCACACCCACTCTTCCCAGTGCCTCCAAACCCACACTGACAAACATGTTATAGCAGCTGTAACTGGTAATTTTTCAGCTATAAAACTCAGAGAAACTAAACAAATATTATCCACTGCTTCTAGAACAATAAGGTCTTGGAGAGGAGAGTCTAAGGAGAGATTTACCTCATCATCCTTCCAGTCTGAGAAATCGATCTTGAAGGAAGGCAGGGAGAATTGCTGGCTCACCCCTCTCTTGTAATGAACTGTCTCAGACTGCAGAGAAGGATTCTTTGTGCTGTATCTGAAGAGGGGGAAAAAAAAAACTCACTGTAACAAATTATTGCTCTCTGCTGGGCTCTAAGTCATTCACGCCTGTCGGCCTTCAAGAAATCACAAATGGCAACTCTAAGAGGCAAAGCTGGCGGGAGCTCACAGCCATTCACTTTGGAGACAAAAGGGAATGGAAAAGGTCAAAGCAAGAAGGTAAAGATTCAGCAAAAAGAGGGAAAGGCAGCCCCGAAACACATCCTTGATCTTCAGTAGGGTTTGATGGGGTCTGTACTGTACTGGCTGGAAATATGAGTAGTCAAGGAGCACCGTGTGACACAACAAACAAGGGACCTCAGTTAAGCAAAGGCCAACTCCACAGATCAGAAGTGTAGGCACAATGATGGTCCAACAGGGTCACGTTTCAGTTTCTTCAGCAAGGAAGCCTGGTTCCTCCCTGCACATACACAGTTGAAAACATGAGCAGTGATCCAACACATTTTCACAATAACCACTTACATACCAGGTGACCTACTCCTCCCACCCTGGGAACAGCATTTAGTGATCTAATGGATTCACAGAGAAAATTCTAGAACCAGAAGACAGCTTGGCAAAAAAGAATGATATTTGACATCCCCTCCCCCCACCATTCTGCTCTCCACAGCTCACAAATGCTTCCCCCATTCTAAAAAACACAGCACTGCTGATCTGAGAACAGCATGGCTGCACCCATGAACAGCTGGTGCCTCCCGAGACTGGGGAGGCACCACACTGGTGTTGGCGGCGCTGAGCAGCAAGTGGGAACCGCCCACAGCCACCACCGACGGTGTCAGCAGGGGGGAGGGGTGCATCACCTAAACAGAGTTATAGTTCCTCCATTGTACAAAGTCTCAGTGCTGATACCATGTCACCAATAGGAAGAATAGGGCCAGACTTCTTTGAGGACAAAAAAGCTACCAGTCCAGTTCTTCTGCTCTAGTAACAAGCTGGCCCAGATGAAAAGTTCCAGTATGACATTAATCATCAAGAGATGTTCCTACCTGTTGCCACTTAAACAGTGTGTGTACAGTCTATGAGGAGTATTAGGAATTACAGAGAAAACAACATTTTTTATCCAAGATGTGTACAATCTACTACAAATTTAGCAAACCCTGCATACAATAACTGAGGACAGGGTGGACCCATGGGCCACAGCAAGTTTTGGTGAGCTGTCATGGGCCAGGTCAGCAACACACCCCCACCCCCCATTCAACAGCTCACCAAAACTCCCTATGTGACACACACTCAGCTGGGTGGCTGGGATGGCACTGCAGGCAGGTGGGGATCGGGGCAGGCAGGGCTGGGATTGCAGGGTGGTCTACAGTGCAGGGCCAGGGCAGAATCACGATCCGCTACCCACACACCCCTACAATGGCCGCTGGCTCAGCAGGCAGGGGTGTGCAAGGAGCAAATCATGGCTCTGCTCCGGGCCACAATCCCACACCATCCAGCAATCCAAGGGTCTCCATGGAGACCGGCCAGGATCTACACAGCCACGGCGCGTGGCCAGGCAGATGGGATGGGGCCAGAGGCAAACAGGAAGCTGCATATAGGGCTGGGATCTTAGGGCAGTGACAGCACAGGGCTGGGGCCCATGGCAGAACTACATTCCACTCCTTGCACACCCCTGTGATCTGCAGAACCCATGGCTGTCATAGGGCCACGCAGGCTGGAGATCACAGCTCAGCCCCACGCTGTCACTGCCCTGCGATCGCAGCCTCACCTGCCCATCCCACTCCCAAACACTGCTCGCTTCTCGCCCGCAGCTCCATCCTATCTGCCTAGCCATCCACTCTGCCCACATGGGTCACACCCCCAGCAGTGGGTGCAGGACATGTGGACTGGGGTGCCCAGGCAGCAGGGTTAAGTCAGTCATGGCTGCAGCAGTTGGAAGGAGCCACTGTCACTGGGGCTGCTGGGAAGCGAGTCCGGCTGTCATGCCGTCCCAGTCCCGCTGTGCACGCAGGGGTGGCAGGACCAGCCACACACGCCACAACCTGGGCTGCCCCCTGTACCTGGGCTGGGTGGGACTGAGGGACCTACCACTAGCCAGGCAAAATCCCACAGCAGGCCAGATCTGGCTCACAGGCTGTATTTTGCCCACTGCTGACCTAGGAACTATGGCACAGCTCTGCTAAAGCCAGGGTTGTCCAACTGGTGGTCCATGGACCACATGCAGCCTGCAAGGGGTTGGTTAAATTGCAGCCCATGGGCTCCCATCCAGCTGCCAATCCTCCCACTGTTCCAGCTGCAGAAGCCTCTGGGTTCCCTCTCCCTCTTGCTCCTCCTTCCCTGCCCCAGGGGGCAGGGCAAGGTGGTACAGCCCAGGGCTCAGGGAGCCTGTAGCCTAGGACACCTGAAAGGTGTGATGCATTAAAGAAGCCCACAGATGATAAACCAAGGGTGTGGCAGAACTCCCATACACATAGGGCAGGGAGTTAAGGGGGAAGGGATCCTGGGGATGTGGTGGATGGATGCCCAGGCATGGTGGGGAGGGGGAAATGCCCAGACACGTGGTGCATTGGTGGACACAGAGCAGTGGGAGTGTGGAAGCTTGAAGCAAGCAGCTTTCTGTGCCCCCCGCTGTGCCCTGCCGCACTGGGTTCCAACGCTGCTTTGCAGAAGCGAAGACGGCAGCACAGTGGGGAGCACTGCCGGTATGTGTTGCCTCCCCAGAGCCCGGGGCTAGGGCTGGGGCAGAGAGGCAGCAGATGTTTGCAGCTGGCCCAGGTTCTGGATAGCTGGTGACAGCTACAGAGCCCAGGCTGCAGGGCAGGGGATCCTGCCATGTACCCCCTGCCCTCATTTTGTTTTTCTGGCATGCCGGCACTCTGGTGTCTTCTAAGGCAGGCATTGTGGGGTTTTTTGGCACTCCCACCAAAAATCTATGAATCTATAACAACCACTGGTGAAAAAAATCTATAAATCTATAATAACCAGTGGTGAAGTATTATCCCACTCTAGTCTAGTGACTAGACTAGAGTGGGACAATACACACGCTTCACCACTGGTTATTATAAACACACCAAAGAAGATATGATGGTCAGCGATACTTAAATGTTGTTTGGAAAATAGGGTTTTTGCCTGAGAGACTGCTTTGGAGGCAGGGGATCAAGTGAAAGTCAAGCAAAAGGAAAGGAGTGAGCTCCTGTGGTGAGAAGGGAGAAGGAAGATGAGGAGGAGAGCAGAATATTGGGCAAGAAGGAGGACCATTACTATGACCAAAACATGTAAGGAGAGAGGAAGCCAGGAAGGAGGTTTGCAGGGAAGTAGCATGTACAACATGGTTGTAAAACAGACTACTATCAGTGTAGAGTTTGTGGTTTCAGATGGGGTCAGCCTGTGTCTATTTGATATAGGTGGGGTGGGAAGGGGACTGGAGTCAAATGTTGGCCACAGTCAATGATTGGGGTACCCAAAGTGCACTTTTAAACCCCTCTCTCTCGCTCCATTAAGTAACTCCAAATACAAGGCTTTTGGCACAGAATTTGTTGGCTCCCAAAGAGGGTTTCACTAGTTTGACTTGGGGAGCAATCAATCATAGGCCTGGAATATCACAACACAGCTACCAACTTAAAATATCACAGCCACTCCAATGAGGCTTCCTTTTAAACACTACCTCTCTCTCCACCCCGCAGCATTGTTTCAGGGATCTGAAGGCTTTCCTTAAATTGCCTGAGAAAGGACAGTACCTTCCCTGATGGTTATCACTCCAGATTTCTCTGGCTAACTCCTTTGTTGGTGGCTCATATCCTGGCAAAGCACAAAGTAAAGAGGCAGTGCTCTGCCAAGCAATACAGGAGAGATCTCTTGATACCCCCTTGGCAGCTATCCCCCTTGCTGGCTGATCCAGAAAAACCAACCCTATTTTGCACTGCAGCTGGAGGTTAACAGAGCCCACACAGGCACAAAGAAAATAAAAAACTTCCTAGGTTTGCATTCAGGGACTGTATGCAGACATAGAGCTCAACAAACTACTAACTGCTGAAGTAGCAGCTGCGTCCGGGAAGCTCACTTGCAGGTTACTTTGGCAAGGCTGCTCTTTGTTTAACAGCAGAGCACACAAAGAGGGACTATGAAAGGCAGCTCCTCTAAGGGATCCAGAGAAGCCCAACAGCAGCAGCAGCCACCACCTGTTGTGGGATTGGAAACCCCATCTGTGTTCCCAGCCATTAGCACGATGCAGCCCCCACATATTTATACAACAGCTATTTCACTCAAATTTTCTGTCTTGCTTTCCGAGCTTAAGCTTCCCAAATCTCCTTAGTAACACTTTTGTTGCCATGGTTGCAAGATACAGTTGATTGCTCTTTGGATGCACTTTTGAGTGCTTAACAGTCATGTTTTTCCAATCTGTTGATAGGACTCTTGGACAGGTTGTGTTCCCAGAAAATGGGCTTCTTCAGAGACCAAAGCAGAGTGCTCCAAGGCAGCCATATTACATTCAAGAGGTTTAACATCATTATGACTTAGGAGACTGACTACATCTGTCCTGCAAGGAACACCTTTACAAACCTGCCATTCACAACAGGTCAGAAAGGAGTACCTCTTCATCTGCCCTTATCCTGAAGTGCTCAGGCCAATATTTTCAAATGTGAGGGCTTAAAATTAGGCTCCTAAATCTACATGCAGGCACCTAAGCCTAAGGACTTGATGATCAGAGAAACTCAACACCCACAAATTCCATTCAAGTCCAGGGGAGCAGGAAGTGCTCAAGAGTCTTGTGGGGGGAAAAGGCCATTTCTTTTTCAGGTTTCAGTATCTCATTTGGGCAAGCTGGCCTTGGTGACAAGCACAGTATAAATGCCTAAAGGAGATTACAGAAAAGCTAAGGACCTCACTGGTCTACCCAAAAAGTTACATGTTCAAAACAAATAGCTGGGGTCATTTGATCCCAGCATTCTTTCCTGCCCATGGCAGGGGGTCAGGCTCGGGTCCCTTTCGACCCTATCAACTATGAAACTATGAAACACAGTGCCATATTCCCAGCTGGTG